AAAAAAAAAAAAAAAGGAAATGAAAGACCCAAATCAATGTAATTACACATGAAAAAGGCATATCCCAGGACTCAGAAGGCTAAACCAGAAGGATTACCATGAGTTCAAGACCAGACAAACCCAGCCACATAATAAGACAGAGGACTAACTTCTGGAAAACATAAAGAACTCAAAAAAATTAGAAACCCCCCCAAAGACCCATTCAAAAGATGACCAACTGAAGTGAATAAACATTTCTCATAAGAAATACAAATGGCCAATAAATACATGAAAAAATGTTTAACATTTCTGGCCATTAGAGAAATGCACAAAACAAAAACAAAAACAAAAACAAGGGGCCGGGAAGATAGTTCAACAGCACAGAACCTGACTGGTAAGCGCAAGGTGCAGAGTTTGACGCCCAGTACCAAAAAAAAAAAAAAAAGAGTGAGAGAAATGCAAAATAAAACAATACTGAGATTCCATCTTACTCCAGAAAGAATAACTATCATCAAAGTTCTGGTGTCTTAAAGCAACTTTCATGAATACGTCAGCAGCATTTCACCTACAAAACCTGAGTCTGAAGGGCTTTGTTATTAATATAAATAAATGTTTTAATCTATTCTGCCTTTCCCGTTCATTCCTTCTTTGGTTTGGTTGTATGTTTGGAAGACAGTTCTTAATTAGACACATATGTCCATGTCTCTCCCCATCCCACAGCCTCACAAAAACTCTCTTAAATAACTGAGATTTAAATGCTATTCCAAACTGAGCTACACGACCCCTCCTCAGATGGGAATTCTCAAACACAAGACTGAAGCCTCACTGGGAATTCGGTTCCACGGAGAAGAGACTCTGATTTGTTGGAAGGAAAGCGGAAGCTTTGCAAATTTTTTCCTTAGGAAGCTGCGGCTTAATTTAGGAAATAGATTTCAACTGCTCAGTAAGAAAGACATCAGGCTTCGGGATCAAATGAATTTAAGTTTATAATTATCAAACTCATTGCCAACCCCCAAGGTATTTGATATTTCTGCAAAACTCCAGTTTCTCTCTAAGCCCATCCCTCTACAATTCTGACTCACACTGATCCCAAATTTCTGAATGCTAAATACTAACACTTCTCAAGCAAAGGGCCTTTTCTACCTCATCTTGTCTCATTTCTGCAACTACCTGAACTGGACAAAATCAAAGTTCATAGTTGCTAGGAAAGGTGACCTCTGACCATGGAAGCAGAGTGCTTCAGTCCCATGCAGGCTAGAGCTAGATAAAAGAAATAAAGAAGATAATCTGTGAAGCACTTTGACAAATACCTTTTTACACATTCCTTCTACCCTAAAGTATCTTTAACTATTAAATCGAAGCTTATGCCCCTTCCCATGAAGACCAACACTACCCAGTCCTCTTCAACTTCTGTAATTCACTTCCTCATTGCATTCCTGCACTTAACCCACTTACTCTAAGGAACCCCAAGTATCCTCTTACTAGCCACTTAGGGCATCTACCAGGAACATACCCAGGAAAAAACAGTTCTCAGTTGTGGGGGAAGGTCTGTGGTTGCTAACGAACTGATTACTGATGGTCGGCTTCTGATCCCCAGCCGTGCTGAGTGCACGTGGTGCGGGGTGCGGATGGCTGGCCCGAGGATGGTTACCATCGGCTGAGAGGCAGAAATGGAAAGGGATAATGAATTACTCCGGTGGGTCTGAGTTACGTTCTGGGTTCTAATAAAAGGCGATTGAGATGGGTGATCGGGGCTGCTGCAGTCCCAGAGGCTGTGGGCCCGGTGATCCCAGACTTTTGCCTCTTCTGTTTTTCTTATCTTTTTTACCTTTTCATCCGCGGGACCTCATTCTCGGGACCTGTCACTACAGATAATACCAACACAGCAAAAATTACAAGCAATTTCCTTTAGTCTTGCAAATGGAATGGCTGCAAATTAGGAGTTTAAGAGTGAGTCAAAATGTCTGTTTTCAGTTGTTAAAACAAACATACAGAGAAGTTGGGCCAGGCATGCTGGTGCACACCCCGAATGCCAGCACTCAGGAGGCTGAGGCAGAAGGATCACCACGAGTTCAAGGCCAGTGTGAACTACACAGTGAAACTTAGTCTTAAAAAATCAAATAAATAAAATAGTTTTTTGTATTTTGTTTTTTGTTTTTTGGTTAGTTTGGTTGTGCTGGACTGAACATTTTTCTTTCAAGGCAATATCAATACATTTAAATTTTAAAAATTCAAGTGGGCAGACATAAAAATAGCAGAAAAACAAAAATGAAACAAAACAAATCCCTTGCAATTATTCCAAACAGCCTCAGGGATAGCCAGTTAGTACACCTTTTCATTTTTTTTCTGAAGACATAATGTTTCTAACATGGAGCGAGGAGGAGAATCTGTAATTTCAGCCAATCACACTAGGGAATAAAATGAAGTTAATCCAAGTCGCTCAGCAGTCGGTTAAAACCTACATTCTAAAAGTGTTATTATTTTAACCTCAAGAAACACAACGGCCACCAAGACTTAACTGTTTGCGCTTGAAGCAAGTAAAAGCCTGACGTGGTGCTAATGTTTAAATTTCAGGCTGTTTTATAACACGAACTAAGTTTCTAAGTTTAAGAAAATCTTGAGTCATTAAAAGAAAGGTAAAGAGTCAAACAACTTCGTAACTCTTACGTACTGAGTACAACGCCTGAGTCACCCGTGAACGAGGTGGGGTCTGCCCCCTCTGCATCAGACCCCAAACTGGGATTACAGCGTCCAAAAACCATCGAAAGTGTTAAGTAAAGGGAAGTACAGAGAAGACCTGCGGCGACGGCCACTAATGCGACTGCGCCAATCTCAGAGCAGAAAGGTGTGCAAAACACGGCCTTTGTAGGGCTCAAAACGACACGTGCTAATAATGCGCGCAGACCTGCCACGCACAGGTACATGCGATTTATTCCGGAGAATGGAACGCGGGGACCTCCTCTCCAAGAACACACACAAGTGAGGAGCCACAAACCTCTTTCGGCGGAGACTCTCGCGGCCCGGCGGCTCCCGGCGGTGCCCCCCGCAGTTGTTATAGTAACGCACGGACGCTCGCGGCGCTGCGGGCGCGCCGCCTACTCCGCGGGCACCGAACCCACTGCACTCCCCGCTTCCTGTCCGGGAACAAAAGCCGCCTGGATTTTAATCTCTGGCCTCACCTGCAGTTTCTGCAAGATGTGCTTAGCTTCTTCCTCTTCCTCAGCCATCATTCCCCAGCTACTCTTGGCTTCTCTGCCCCCAACTTCATAACCACAGAGACCGGGCTCACGCCTGCACCGGTCACAGCGACATCTAGGGCTCTGGAGGCTGACGTGCACCTGAGGGCATTGCTCCAAGCCAGCCTAATGCAGCGCCTATACGGTAATTCAAAATGCTGCTATAATCACTCTAGATTTGAGAAACTGCTTTCCCGGGAGCGGGGAGTGTATCTCAGTGGACAGCGCCTTCCCAGAGTGCGTAAGAGCCTGGCTCGACCCCCAACACGGCAAAAACAGACAAACAGACATGAGATAAACTTTGTTCCCAAGATCTGGAAACAAAATGTTCTCCCAAGTTCTGGAAACAAAATGACACATATATTTTTGTTTCGTATCTTTTTATTATTTGTATCAAGATTTTAATACTTTCGCCAGGAGTGCTGGTGCACACCTGCAATCCCAGCACTCGGGAGGCTGAGGCAGGAGGATCACTAAGAGTTCGAGGGTAGCCTGGATTACATCACAAGACCCTGTCTCCAAAAACCAAACATAGGGGGCTGAGGATTTAGCTCAGCGGCACAGCACCTGCCTGGCAAATGTGAGGTCGTGAGTTTGGTTCCCAGTACTGGAAAGAAAAAAAAAAAAATGCCAAACATACGTACAGATGTGTGCACCCACACACAAACCTCCCAAAATTATAATATTCTAAAAAATAATATAGGTTAAGATGGTAGCTGCCTATGTCCATTTGAAATTTTGAAAGGAATGTATAGTAATATAATCGTATGGTAATCTTTTCCAAATTTTGCAGGTTTTCCACATATGAAGAATTTTTATCACTGTTGTGATAATCCTACACTTTGGTTGGTATTATAAAAACCACTATGCAGCTGGGCATGGTGGCACATGCCTATAATCTTAGCACTCAGGAGGCTGAGGAAGGAGGATCGCTGTGAGTTCAAGGCCAGCCTGGGCTACCTACTGAGTTCAAGGTCAGCAGAACTGCAGAGCAAGACCCTGTCTCAAAAAAAAAAAAACAAACACTAGCCACTATGCTATATACTAATAACATTTACACAATGATTATTTCCAATAGATACCTAAGAATGTCTCTGGAGAGGGAACCAAGGGGACTGGGAGCTGTGGAGGAGCAAAGAAAATTCTTTTTATTGTGTACTCTTCCAAAATTTTTTCCATACACATATGGTACCGATGAATAATAAACACAAATTTTAAATAAAAAATATTTTCTATTATCTCTGAAAATACAAGTCAGTAGCAATAATAACTACTTCTCATAAATGGAATTGAAAGCCTGATGGACAAAGAAAGAACAGAGATTTTCATCCTTTTCTTTGTACCTTTTGAATTTGTATGCTGTGAATGTATTAAACTCGAGTATATTTTTTGAAGTAGCGTGCAATATTCCTGACAACTTCTCTTTGCTTTTGGTTGAGGAGGTGGGGTAGTACTTGGGATTGAATCCACAGCCTCTGCACTGATCTCCAACCCCAGCCCTTATTTTTTTATTTTGATAGGGTCCTCCTGAATCATTAAATTGCCCTTGCCAAGCTCAAACTTACCAACCTCCTGCCTCAGCCTCCCAGAGTGTGGGATTACAGGTGTGTGCCACCGTCTCTGACTTTATTTATTTTTAAATTATAGGTTACTTATCTTTCATACTGATTTTCTGAACCTAACAAAGTAGCAAAATTTTCAATCATGAATATACATAAAATGATTACCTCAAAACATTTTCCAACAAAGTTTAAAGCTGTATAGGGAAGGACAATACTTTGTACTTGTGGACTGATAACTGCTTACACCCAGCTGAACTGAGTAAGCGTGGTACTGGGTGTAGGAGGACCACCTGAGGACTGTTGCCAGCAGCATGAGGCAGAACTGGGGAGGAAAAGTTTAGAAACTGTTGAGAGATGTTGGAGCTGTTGGTTTTCTTGGGGCTGCTATTGGTTCTCTTGGAGGACTTTGTCATGCTGGCTCTCCTGATGAATTCAGCTGTTCTTATCATCAAAGGAGCTCAGGACCTTGGTGTCTCTGGGAATGGCTACGGTTCGCTTTGGGGGAGCTCTGATCCTTGCTTTGAGCATTGCTTCCTGGCTCCAGAGGGGAAGATGGTGAGCTGCTCAGTCTCCTGGAGAAGCTAGTTGCACTGGCTTTCCTGATGGGAACTCAGCTGTTCTCATCATTGGAGGAACTTGGGACCTCACTGTCACTGAGGATGGTTGTGATACCTTTTGCGGGAGCTCTGGTCCTTACTTTGAGCATTACTTCCTGGTTCCAGTGCAGATCCCTCAGCCCACTATCACAGATCCTTCATCCTGCTGGCACAGTCTTTCTAGCTTCCACCACTGACCTGGGGCCTTCGCAGCACAGATCCTTGAAACAGACCTGCATGAGGCATTGTCCTGGGCTCTTTGTCTCCAGCTGGACTCATTGGGGGCACTGTTATGGGCACTAGGTCTTCAGCTGGATTTATCTCTTGGATACCATGGGATCCAGGCCCTCGGCTGGATTGTTTGGTCTTAGTGTGTGGACAGATTTCCTGCACTCTTTCTGTATATGACTCTTTGGGTGACTAAATAAATAATAATTATAATAAAATACTCTTATAATTAAGTGTCCTGTATTGTATTGTTCCTCTTGCAAAATCCCAAACTACAACAGTACTATAATAGATAAAACATGTCTCATTAGCTATAAAATAGGGAGGGGGTGTTTTAAAATTTCTAAATCAAGATTTTTTCATCAGACGCCATTTTTAACTTTGTAATATAGCAAAAAATCTTTTTGAAGAAATTTTATACCCTGTGCTAATGAACAAAAGTATTTGCTTCCTATTCAATTATGTAAAGCAGGGGTAGTCAGGTCCCTTTCTACAGTGAATAAATATAAAAATTTCCTCAAATGATTTCAGTGTAACTTTTATAACTTAAAAATCAGCACCTTGGGAGGCTGAGGCAGGAAGAACCCAACTTTGAGCCCAACCTGGGCAACTTATTGAGATGCTGTATCAAAATTTCAAAATTAAATATATGCTGGGTGTGGTGGTACACACCCGTAATTTCAGCACTGAAGTTGAGGCAGGCGGACCAGCTCAAGTTTGAGGCAGCCTGGGCTACATTTTTTTTTTCTGGGCTACATATTGAGTTTAAGGCCAGCCTGAACTATATAGCAAGATTCTATCTCAAAAAACAAATAAGTAGAGCAGGGGATGTAGCTCAGCAGCACAGCACCTGCCTGGCAAGCCCAAGGTCCTGAGTTTGATTCCCAGTACCAAAAAATTAATTAATTAATTAATTTTAAAAAAAAAATATATATATATAGGGGATACAGCTCAGCACAAAGGCCCTGGGTTCCATTCCCAGCACTGCAAAACAGATTAATTAAATAAAATAAGGTTTTTTTAAAAAGGGATTTGGCATTTATGTTAATTCCATTACAATGTTTCCCAAATCAGTAAGACTTATTCCTAAAATTTAAGTTAGAAAAGAAATCCTTTATTTTATAGATGTAGACAGTAAAACCTAAAAAGGTTAACTTAGTCACTCCTAACCCATATACAGAAATAAACCACAGTTAGGGTTCATGTATTCTGCTTCCCTGATTTAAGTGCATTCAAGTTGTGCCACTAACGAGACATAAAGTCACTGAGATTGCCCTTCAAATTTCTTTCTTGGCTCTGTTTTAAATAATTAAGTATAGCAATTACACACAATTTAATTTATGTAATAGTAGTCAGAAATCCAAGGGAAACAGTAATGTCCTTAAAATTATTTTAATAAAAGTGCAAATACAAAAAATACAAATAGCAAGACACAGATCATTTACCATTTTCTAAGACTAAAATTTTCACACAAATATATGGGCAAATACAACAAAATATCAATGAACATACTTCCATAGACATATATGCATAAATACCAAAATCCAAAGTGACATGAGGACATATAATCGGTGGTTATAGACACATTCATGGATGCAAAGCTCAGTCAGAAACTACTGGGAAGGGGCTGGGAATTTAGCTCAGCAGCACAGTGCTTGCCTGGCAAGCACGAGGTCATGAGTTCGATTCCTGGTACCAGAAAAAAAAAAAAAAACAAAAAAATAAAAAAACTACTGGGAAGAAACAGGGGTCTATGAAATAATGTTGTGACCTTTTCACCAGTGATAAAAATTCAACAGTACATGTAAAAATCGAGATTAATAAAATGCTCCTGCTTTAAATAATAGAAACAAAGAAACTAGACACTAAAGGCACCCTCATCCCCAACTGCCACAGAATTTCTTGTAAATTAAAGATGTGAAGACAGCTTAAAGCCTTGATAGCTCAGAGACAATGATGGCTTCTATGGAGCATAAAGATCATATGATAAGTGAAACTACTGAAGACAAACACAGACACTGTGTAAAGTAAATTAAATTCTTTTTACTTTGAAGGCTCTGCTTGATACTTGCTGCTGCTCTAATTCATGACTTTGAGAGGCAAAACTAAAAAAGCTGTTGCTGGGCTCAGGTGCTGAGGGAGAACCCACAAAAAATGGTCTGAACTGAAAATCTTCATCTCCACCACCCCGATTTCCAACTGTTGTACTGTCCAAAGGAAACTTGGAACTGCTCCCTAGGGAAAAAAATCAGGGAGGAACATAAGCATCTATTTCCTTATAGATTTTTAAAAAACAAAAAGATAAAAGCCATTCAAAAAATATTTTAACAGAACTCAACTCATGAGATTGATAAAACATATTCCAAACACTAGACAAAAAGGACCAGAATGTCTTTCACCCGCTCCATGGCCACACTATCATATCTACTATTCCACCTTTTGTACTGCAGTTTCCAATGATAGCCACTATCTCATCATCAGAACTAATCTGACACAATGAAATGTCTTGGGTATCATAATTTTATTCATTTGTTTTCTAATCCACTTCTGAGAAAATCTACACATCAAAAATATACACATACGCATAATTTTTTGTCTTAGGTTCTTCAAGAAAACTTTTTAAAATATTGTAATATATACACTCAAAATAAATGCAACTATGAAATACTGGCACACACCCATGACGCAATATTACTAGCAAAGGCTTAAGAAAAATCGATCAGACAGCAGATTTGATTACATAAACACTTAAATACTTTCACTGAAACCTTATTGGCTTTTACAGACTTTAAAGAGAATAAGTAGGAAAGAAAGAAAATTGCCAACTATATCAACTTCAAGCTAACAGTGGCAGCAAGGGCCAAAAAGGTAAGAGCACAGAAAAAAAGAAAAGGAACAGCAAGAACTGATGAAAGAAGTCAAAATAAATGTGAAGAGTGACAAAAAAAATCTACAATGTCCTTTTACAATAATATTCAATTGTGTTATATGAGTAACTGAAAGGCAGAAACTTGTTTTTGTTTTAATTCTTGTAACTGATATGCCTCATCTTATCACTTCATACCTTTTCTAGAACATCATCTCCTTTCCCATTGTATCTTTTTCCTCAGCCTATAATAAATACGTTTTTTAAATGAGAACATAGGTAACCCCCCAATTTATACTAACAGCATAAAAAAAATCCACCGGATTCTATTGCAACAGGAATAGTAGAGGAGAAAACTCAGGAACAGATTCATCTGCAATGCATCTAACAAACATCTTAGACTGTGAACTTTCAAAGGGCAATAATCCCATCTAGATAATCTTTATATCTTCACTGCTTAGAATCCTATCTAAATGCCAGGCCTGGTGGCACACACCTGGAATCCCAGCACTTGGGAGGCTAAGGCAGGGGATCACTGTGAGTTGAGGCCAACCTGGGTTACATAATGGAGTTCAAGGCCAACCTGAACTGCACAGTGAAAGCCTGTCTCAAGAGAAAAGAAAAGAAGTGGAGGGGAGGGGAGGAGAGGGGAGAGGGAGGGAGGGGAGAAGAGGAAGGAGAGGAGAGGAGATAAAAAAATTGTGGTACTTATATATAATGGAATATTACTCAGCTATAATAAAGACAAACTCGAGGCTTTTATACGTAAATGGTCACAACTACAGACCATACTCATCAGTGAAATAAATCAGACCTGCATATGTAAGCAATGTATTGTCTCACTAGTGTAAGAACCTGAAAGAGTGAATAAAAACTAGGAGGTATGATAGCCACTGTGAAATGAAAGGAAAATGCTTAAAAGTAAAGGGCAACTGGGGTGTGGGAAAAGAGAAGCGAAAGAAGGGGAAATTATGTAAGTATGTATATACTGGACAGCTAACATAGTTGTACTACTGTCTTCCATTGCTCTGCAGAAAGGAACAGTTAATGATTACTTGTTTGATCAGCCTTGCATGTCTCTGTTCTCCTGAGAAACCACTTTGAAGCTATCAATAAGTAATACAACAACCACTGTTAATTTCCTGCCACTTTGTCTGTAATTCAGTATTGCTTGTATTGTTCTTATGCTATTTTGTAAATGGATGTCTGTTTGTTAATATATTTTCCGTCTTTTATTTTTAAAATAAATAAAAAACAATTAAAAAAAAGGTAAAAGCAGTGACATATAGGTTGAGACATGGTTAAAGAATCCATAGCTTACCATGACTCCACATTTGTAGTCTCTCTTAACTGCATGGACCTGTGCAGAGCACAGTGTGAAAACTCATTGATTTAAAGAACAGATATCGGATATCACATGTGCTTTCTTACCTAGTGGGAAACCAAAAACACCAGCCTGTGTAATCGTAGATGGTTCAAGGTTGCTTTCCTGGTTAGCAATAGTGATATTTCGCAGCCTAAGGCTATCATAGAGGCCTTGGAGCTTTTGATACTGGCGGTTGCGTTCCATAAGTTTCTCAGAGATATCACTGAACTTTTTCTTGTATTCTTCTAACACTTTTTTCATGGAAGTGACCTCTCCTTTCATAGAGGTCAATTCCACATCCTTGCTCTGTATTTGCTGGGTATATATTTTCTCCATCTGTTTCAAATGGCCCTCAGCCTTGCTGAAATTGTATTCTTGATAGAGACGTTCCTGATGTACCTTTCCCAATAAGAAAAGAAAGACTTTAAAACAAAGTTTAAAAGTTACACATTACAAAACCTCATACAAACACAAAGGGAAAAGATGTTTATACAAGGCCTTTTTATGTTTTTTCTTTCTTTTTATTTTCTTCCTTTTTGCAGTACTGCAGATTGAGCCCAGGGCCTTTCCACCAAGCTATATCTCCAGCCCCTTTTTATTTTTAAATTTTGAAACAAGGTCTTGCAAAGGCACTAAATTGCCCAGGCTGAGCTCGAACTTAAATCTTCCTTTCTTAGCCTTCCACAACACTGGAATTATAGGCATACACCAACATGCCCAGTGTTTTGAGTAAGGTACATGTAGAGAATTGTTACAAATTGGACAGCAAACTACAGCAACTAAAATAAGCAAACAGGAAATCCATTTAAAAAAACATGAAAAAATACAAGAAAATATGTTCATCTAAAACTCATCAACTAAGCTGCGCATGGTTGCACATGCCTGTAACTCTAGTGCTCGGAAAGCTGAGGCAGGAGAATTGCTGCACATGTGAGGCCAACCTGGGCTACATAGTAAGTTCATGACCAGCATTACCCACATAGTAAGAACTTGTCTCAAAATTCCTAAAAAGTACATGAATTAAATCATCAAATAACTGCATAAAGAATGAGAGTCTATCTTACCTACATCTAACTGATTTAAAATGTGGAGGACTAAGCACCCTTATACATTTCTTGAGAACAAATAAATGGATATGTCTTACTGGAGAACAATTTTTAAATATTACAACTAAGTGTTCAAAATGAACCAGGCATTTAGTATACCCCTTTAATCCTAGGTAGTCAGGAAGTTGAGGCAGGAAGATCGCAGGTTTGAGACCAGCCTGGGACAATTTGGTAAGACCTTCCCTGAAACTAAAAAAATTGTAAAAGGCTGAGGATGTAGCCCAGAAGCGAAGCACTTGCTTAGCAGGTGTGAGGCTGTAGATTCAATCCCCAGTAACACACCACACAAGCGCACGCACGCGCGCACGTGCCCGCGCACACACACACACACACACACACAGTCTTCAAAGTGTATTTATCTGCTTTCAGTAATTTAATCTTAGCAAATAACAAAAAATATGAAGTGATAATAAGAATGCTCATCACACCATTTTTAATAACTTAGCAACAAATTATGATTATTAAGATTGCAGACCTTAGAATTACCATTATAGAATAGTTAACTGAAAGTACTTAAAATATTCATAGCAGACATAACATACTGCTAACCTTATTTACTTATTTGTGTGAAATGTATGTGGGGGGGGTGCACATGCTAGGAATCAAACCCCAGGCTTCATGCATACTAGATGTATGCTCTACCACTGGGCTATATCAACACTGTCAATTCTTTTTCTTTTCTTTTTTTGGTTTTTGGAGACATACTACTACTCATTATGTTCAAGGCTGGCCTTAAACTCACTATGTAGCCTAGGCTGACCTCGAATTCATGGCAATCTTCCTGCCTCAGCCTCCCGATTGCTGAGATTATAAGTGTGCTCCACCACTCCCAGCATTTGTCAATTTTAACTGGTCATAAAACCCATATGTGGTATTATCCTATTTTTGTACAAAAATATATATTTATGTACTAACAAATACATCAATAACATGCTGCTTGCTTGGGCAGCACATATACTAAAACTAAAACAATACAGATGAGTATTGCCCCTCTATAAGAATGACACACAATTCATGAAATGCTTCATATTTTTAAAAAATAGGCCAGAATGGTGGCACACACCTGTAATCCCAGCACTCGGGAGGCTGAGGCAAGAGGACTGCTGGGAGTTCAAGGCTAGCAGGGGCTTCAAAATGACACTCAGGAGGCTGAGGCAGGAGGATCATTGCGAGTGCAAGACCAGACTGGGCTACAAAGTGAGTTCAAGGCCAGCCTGAACTGCATAGTGAGGCCCTGTCTCAAAAAGACGACCAAAAAAAAAAATGAGCTCAAGGCCAGCCTGAACTACACAGTGAAACCCTGTTTTAAAAAAGACAAGAGGGGAGGAATATATATATATATAAATATATATATATCTCAACAATGGGTATCTATGAGTGATAGAATTATGGAGTTTTTAAAAAATTTCCCTCCTTTTGGATTTTCAACACTACTTCTAAAAAAATGAAAAACATTTATTAAAAAGAAAGCTTTCCATATAGTCATAAAAACAAATATAAAATAGTGAAGGAAAAACACTAGGAACTCTGACATCGGCTTATACTCTCAGAGAAAAACCACTCTAAGCACTAACCTGGTATGTCCAGAAGGCCAATGCTCGGGAGCTAATGTCCAACACAATCTCTGGCCGTAGCCCTGCCAATACCATAGCTTTATATTCTTCTGATGGACTGAGTTCTGTGCGGACAATATCTAACTTTCCAGAAAGCGTACTGTTGCAAGCAGGGCAGATAGCAGGTGAACGACCAAACTCACCACTGCCGTGCTGATCACAGAAGATGTGAGAGCAGGCAGTGACCCATGCATAACCAGACAGTTTGATTCGACACTTTCGATAATTACAAAGCAGCATGTCTTCACACAAAGACATGATCATGCGGTCTCCTGGTGCTGAAAAGACCTAATAAAAAGTAAATGAAAAGGGAACTAAGTCAAATTGCAATGACAAGTAAACAAACGAAAAATAAGTATGCTTTGTTTTATTTTGATAAAACAATGTATTTTATTATGTTTTCTGTATTTATTATAATCACTTTTATTACACTGATTTTACTCTCAAGGAAAAGTTAAATGCACAGGTGGTTCTAAATCTTACTACAGTCAATAGCAATATGCATGCGGAAAAAAGTTTAGGAACATCTCCAAAATACAAGCAAGTAAAAATTAAATCAGTAACTTTTACCATTAGTCAATACCTAAGCAAAAACCCAAATTTATTACCCATTCATACCTCGCTAGAATATTTTAGTACATTTCACACTTAAAAACGTCATAGTGCAGGAGTGATTTCTGCCATTTTTCAATGTAAACTACATTTCTAAGCTTTCCAAAGCTAATTTCTCAGATTCTTTACCTATCTTGCCTTGATTTAAAAACACTAACTGCCTGTTAACATTATATAGGAATAATTTATCCCAGTAACTGACAATTATGACATCTGAAAATCTGCATAAAAGCTGCTTTTTTGTAAGCTCTTTTATCATCAACTAAACAATTCATCTATTAAATATAACTCTGTGCCATGGTTTGATTTAAAATATTTGTAAAAGTGAATTCTCTGGGTTACTTTTCAATAGTGTCCCCTCTCATTGGAGTTTTACTACTCCAAAATGGGCAGCAATATTCTGAGCATACCAAAACAAGTTCTGTATTTTATAAAATAATAGTGGCATGTCAGTTATACATCAAGCAAAATTGGGCACATCTATCAACCCAAGAATATCGCCTTGGTCATAAGAACAGACTTTCTGACGCCCACACGTTCTCGTGGAATGAGCTTCCACAAATAAATGTCACCTGGCCACCAAAGTGAATGAGGTCTATTTTATCTCCAGCAGGGTAATGGCAGAGGGGAAGCAGAGGAGTCGGGAGAAATTCAGAAGCTGAGACCCTTCCCAGACAGAGAATGAGGTCCACCCAATTCCAAATTCTCCGCGCGGCAAGGGAAGAGCCAGCTTAGTGGGCTGTAAGTCAAGGCCCTATTTGAGAATTAGAACCTCCGAAAATTAACCCCGAAGTTTTCAGTTGCTTCCTAAGTCAACAAAATAACACAAAAATTCAAATAAATATTTGGCCTGACGGGGCAAAAAAAAAAAAAGGGCTGAACCGCGCAGCAGCCGCCAAAACTCCACTACCTGCAAGCACCCGGAGCGTCGACCACGCGAGAGCGACACGGCTCGAGACAGCGCGGGCGCAGCCCCGGGGCCTGCCGGGAACGGCCAACGAGCGCCGGGGCAGGGGCGCAGGCGCAGTGGACGCCCTCGCAAGATCCGGGCTCCGCGGGGCGCGCACGCGCCTGGGCGGAGAGGCGGGCTGCTGTCAAATGCTGCAGGTACTGCTGCGGAGCGCTTGTAACGACCCGGAGTGGCGCAAAGTAACGTCCTCCTACCGAGGTGAAAGCGTCGGGTGAGTGGCGGAGCCGGTCTGCGCCCCACCCCTGAACACGAAGGCGCGTGCTCGAGGACACTGCGGGCGTCGCCGGCGGGCGGCACAGGCTGTTTCCGCAGCGACTCCCGGAAAACGGGTGACACCTGCAACTGGACAACTGTCACCTCGGTGGCGAGGTGCTATTTTACTTTTTACCTTCGGAAAAGACATGTTTTCAGCTTTTACACACCCTCTAAATACATTTAGAGAAATTATAACTTTTCCTCGAGCCTGCTGATTATAGGACTTGACTAAGGGACAGATTATAGGACTTGAGTAAGGGACAGAGTCAGTACCGTAAGCTTGAGGCGCCGGCCCTCCTTGCCGGGAGGCAGGGTTTAAGGTGAGTAAGCGTCCCACGCGAAGGCTGTTGTTACCGGTCACTTCTCTTTGCTCTTGTGCAGACGTGTAGCAACTGTGTGACTTTTCTGCTTAAACTATATGGACTTGTTAGAGTCTCACGCGCGCACACACACCCTCAATAATTGAACCTAGCGCCTGGAACGTGCTAAGCAAGTGCCCTGCCACTGAATTACACGCCGACTTTTTTTTTTTTTTTTTTTTTTTTTGAAACAAAGTCTCAGTAAATGTGCCAATTTGGACTCCCACTTTCAGTCCTCCCATCTCAGCCTCTCAAGTAGCTGCGAGTACAGATTCATGCCATCACACCCAGATCGACTTGTTAGAATTGATATTAAAATTAAACTGAGGCAGAGGGCTGGGAGAGTGCTGAGGATGCAAACCTTAATGCCCACTTTTTCAAATGATGTCACCCTATTATGAATTAGTAACAAGCCAGGTGTGGTGGCGCACGGCTGTAATCCCAGCACTGGGGAGACAGAGGCAGGAGGATTGGAAGAATTCAAGGTCAGCCTGCACTACAAAGGGGGAGACCCTGTTGTTAAAAAAACTAAAATTAAAATGAAAGAATTAGCAACAAAAACCCTGCAAATCCTTTTCTGAGTTGTGAACTCATAATACTAAACCATTTTATTTCAAATAAAAACCTGTCCTAATTAAGGAACTTTTTGCTGGTAAGTTAATTCTGGGGCAAAGTACAGCCACAGAAAACTGGAGGTTCATGTGTAAACATCTGGGGCTGGGGATTTAGCTCTACGGCACAGTGCCTGGCTGGCAAGCACAAGGTCGTGAGTTCAATTCCCGGTACCAGAAAAAAACAAAAAAAAAACAAAAAAACGTGTCAACATCTGTATAACATCTGTTTTGGCAAACTGAACCATTTGTGCATTATCTGGTTTTCATTGCACCAAATGCAGAAATATTAAAGTACAAAAAAGGTGCAATGATTTTCAAGTGCAATCTTTGTTCAAGTAGACAAAGTATTGAAATATCAGCCAACACCTAACTTTGTGTTGCTAATCAACTCACCTGTGTGACCCTTTTCTGAAGATGTCCAGTTAATAATACTTTGCATTAATTCATTTTAACAGCCATATACTGCAAATGTACAATTCATTTATCCCTTCTAACAGACACTGGTTTCATGTTTTTACAATTAAAACAGTACTGCCCTGAACTTTCTGTACATATCTCCTTGAATGCACATGCCAAGAATCCCTAGAGAATATAATAGCCAGGGATTAGGGTAATATATAAATTCTTTCCTTTTTTTTTTTTACTATCTTTTGATAAACTAAATGTTGCGCTCTTCAAAGTAATAATACAGATTTCACTCAGCAAAGTATATGAGAACCCAGTCCTCCAGACTCAGCAACATAAAAAACTGTCGAGATTTCCCTTGTCCCTTGTTTTCATTTGTGTCCATCTGATGACAATGAAATAATAGTTCAGTGTTGTTTTAATGTGCAATTCTTTGATTACTTGTCAGGTTCAACATTTTTTCATGGGAATGACTACATAAGAATCCTCATCTGTTCATATCCTTTCATAATTTCTACACAGAATCACTGGTCAGTTAGGTGACATGCAAACATAAGTTTGAATTTTAATGTACATAAACTTATCAACTTTTCCTTTTTGAGTTTATATCTACTCCAATAACTTTTTCTTTTTCTTTTTTGGTGGTGGTGGTAGTACTGGGGATTGAACCCCAGGCCTTTGTACTGAGCTACATCCCAAGCCCTTTTTTTTTTTTTCTTTTCTGAGATGGGACCTTGCTAAATTGCCCAGGCTGGCCTCAAACTTGTGATCCTTCTGCCTCCAAGAGACTTGAAGTCTTAGACTATGATTTAAAGGTTTTAAGGTTTTGTCTTTTATATACAGATGCTTTTTGTTCATCCTAACATAAGAGTTCTGATAACAACAGCTGTGTAGGGAAAGTGACTGTAACATTCAAGAAAGCAGAGATCCCACCTCAGCCTCTGATGGATGGGGTGCTCTGCTTACATTTCTGGGTCATCACTGATATACAGGGGTAGATATATATCAAAATATTAAAAATGGTGTGTTCCATCTGCTTTTAGAGTGAGGTTTAATAGTTAATATTGCTTATACAAAAGAAAATGACCAACTACAAAGGTAAAACTTACGGACATTTCACATACACTGTATAGTCATTCTTCAGTGTCTCCTACAGGATCAAGCACCACAATCACATACTAAAGAGATTTAAGAAAACCTGTGAGTACTCAGTTTAATATATTTATATACCTTGCACATCAGTCTAAGTCCCAGTTATTCAATAGGAATGTCTTGTTGAAATACCACTAAAATGGTTCCCAATTCCAGAGATTTTATATATATATTTGTATATATATAAAAATCTCCATATATATATATATGGAGATTTCATTTCCATTCACTGCAAATATTTTGGAGTATCTATTCTGGGCCATATTTAAGGGATAAAGAAGATACTGTTTTCATCAAACTTATAGTCCAGCAAAGAATCTCAGAATAACAGAAGAACGTAATATTTTTCTCTTTCCTTTATCACTACTTACATTTTTGCAAGTTGATTCTGTAACATTATTTCTGGTAAAGAGTCAGCTTTTCATCTTTAATTTTGAGAATCATCTACCATCATACTGTAAAGAAAATGCTATTTTTAAAGCTGCCTTGAAATGCATAAACAACTACTTTAGAAGACTGAATAAGCCATTTAAAATTTAAACATGAGTGACTTCAGAGTATGTTTCCCTTACTCCTAGAATCAATTCATTATAGCTCTTTCTTTCACAGCCCTAGTCCATAGCTATTCAAATACTACTGCAACCAAAGCATTCTCTACAAACTATATCCCTGTGATTTTAAGTTATGTTTCTTCTCTTTTTAAAAAATCACAGCAGTTGGCAAGCGCAAGGTCGTGGGTTCGGTTCCCGGTACCGGAGGAAAAAAAAAAAAAAAAAATCACAGCAGTTTTGTTTTTCTTTTAATTTAGTCACACTACTTGCTTTGAAATTGTTTGACTCCGCAAAAATCAGAAGGCACTAGTAGACAGCCAACCTGTCTTCATGGTGCTCTGAATGAAGACAGATGACAGACCAAAATCTCACTGCTTTTATAAACGATGGACCAAAATCTCACTGCTTAAAGCTCTAGGCAGTGAGAGGAACAGTCATCACAGTTGGTATCCAATCACATTTTTTTTTTTTTTTTGAGACAAGGTCTCAGTGTGCAGTTCAGGCTGGCCTTGAACTCACTTTGGAGCCCAGGCTGGGCTTGAACTCAGTGATCCTCCTGCCTCAACTTTGCAAGTGTTGGGGTTACAAGCATGTGCCACCATGCCTGGTCTCCAGCAACATTATTTTAAGAAACATTGATTTAAAAAATAAAGGCATCGGGGCTGGGGATTTAGCTCAGCGGCAAAGCGCCTGCCTGGCAAGCGTAAGGTCGTGAGTTCGATTCCCGGTACCGGAGAAAAACCAAAACCAAAAAAAAAAAAAAAATCTAAAATAAAATAAATAAATAAAATAAAGGCATCAAGAGTATCTTATACAAGGTGTGATCAAATTATAGATCAAATTATATAGTGAATGTTTAAATTTTAAAATGTATGATAATAAAAGACACATTGCCATTGATTCCTCTCAAAATACTCTCTTGCTCATCACATTTGTCCCATTGTTTTTGCCATTTTCTGACTCGGTTCTGGAAATCCTCTTTCATGTCTTTACAAGATGTGGAAAGGCAGACTTGTAAAAAACATTATGGTCTGTCTTCATCTATCTTACTCACTGGATCTAGCACCATGTGCATTCTGGCTCTTCTCCAAAGTCCAAATGACCATGGAAGGAAAATGTTCTGAATCGATTCAAGACATCGAGGCAGCCACAACAATACAACTAAAGACACTCACTAAAGAGGACTCCAGAGCTGCTTCAGAAAGTAGCAAGAGTAACTGGATAAGCATGTTTGAAGCAAGGGGCATTATTCTGAGGGGGATTAATGGTGACATGGCCTTTATTAATTTTTAATTTAAACACTTACCATATACTTTAATCCCATATGATAGGAATCACTTCATCTAAATAAGAACTGGAAGAGACCATTAAGGATTAACTGATTTAGCAAGTCAAAATGATGAGAAATTTGTGTCAGAACCAAGATTAATCAATTAAAGAAAGTGTCACTAGAACAATTATATATAGTCCTGTTACCATGCTGTGCCTAATTTTAGAAATATATTAGGCCTTGATTGCTAGAGGTGGAAGTAATAAGGGGTAGGCCAGTTGGTAAAAAGACACAGAAACAATAAAAACAAAGAATCTCTGAAAATCTATATGCAGATGTAGAACATGGGTTTAAACCCAGTCTGTCTCCAGAACCCATGTCTAACTACTATACTACTATATTATGTTAACATTCAATTTTTTTAAATAGAATTCAGTTGATTTTTAAAAAGAAACAAACTTCATAGTATTTTAGCAGCTAGCCATGGAGTTAAACAAACTTTGCAAAAATTCATGTGTATGTCAAAGCTTTTAATCTCAATGTAAGCCTTACCATAAAATAAAAATGAAGTCATCATTTGTTCTTCATTCTGGATTTGCAGCCCTGAAGAAGTCCAGACTGGAAACATGAAACTCAGATCTAGTTCTGGTGTCTTCTGCAAAAGATAACCAAAAGCTAAAAAATTAGTTCAAGCTACACTGAATGTTACATTGAATGACTTACTTTTTGTATTTTACCCTAATATCTGTCTCATTCTTAGCTAAAAATGCAGGCACAGGTAAAGAATACTATCCTGTATAATTTGCTTAAAATAACTTTAAATTATACAATACAGGAACATAATAAAGTTAGAAAATGCAGGTTTACAAAAATAACAAGATCACCTATGGAACCCAATATTAGAAACAGTTACCCCCAGTGTTTTCATACATGTTTTCAGATGATTTCTTCAGCAAACATAGTCATATAAAAATGTTTAAGCAAAAACATTTTGTTTTATAACCTGTTTTTAATTTCATGAAAACCCTTCCATTTCAATAAATATAAACCTATACCACAACTTTTAAGTGGCTGTAGAGTATTACATTATATGGTTCATAAAACTGATTCAACCAACTGTAGGATTCCCTTATCTTATACAGTATATAGACTGACATATTAGTGATTTGTTCAAATTTGCCATGCTAAGTAGTTGATAGGATTATACCATTTACTAGTGGTATTTCTGTATTGTTTGAATTTTTACCTTAAGGATTCCTGATCCTAGTTCTGTCTCAAAGATAGTATCACAGAAGATCAAAGCACAAAAAAGTATTGGTCATACTATCAAATTCATAATTCAGAAATTTAAGGATTTTCTGGGATCGTGGGATAAATCCCAGAAGGAATTCCAGCAAGTAGAATTCAGTTCCAAGTGTTTACCCCTAGCTTTAGTCTGTTCAGAACATGTGTTTAAATCAGCTGAAACATGCATTTCATCATGGCAAACTGTAAATAACTGGTAAAGAGCAAAACACCACTGGCTTCTTTTCCCCAAACCAGGAAAACCTTCTTAAGACTGAAACTAGGGTTTGTCAACTACCAAATTTCAGCCACTAATAACACTAAATCCCAAATCTTTCTAGATAAAAATGAAAATTTTTCTCTTACACTGCCCTCTGATATCAGATGAATCAACTTGAACTCTAGCATCTATCAGCTACCTAGCATCATCTCTGGAAAATAAAAAATAATAAATTCAGAAAGGTTATAATCACATGGCAACTCATACCAGTATGCTTCATACCAAGTCCTGAGGAAAATTAGACTGTTCACTGTTCATTTGAATGTTTATTTGAAAGGCTATTTAAAAAGTCAACAGCCTCACAATAAGAAAGCAAGTATGCAAAAGGAAAGGAAAAGCCAAGAACTCATGAAATTCAGATAAATAAGAAGGTCACTGCCTACAATCCCAGAACTCAGGAGACTGAAGCAGGAGGATCACCATGAGTTTGAGGCCAGCCTGCGCTACACAGATGAGTCCAAGGCCAACCCAAACTATATAGCAAGAACCTATCTTAAAGATAAATAAATAAAAGATGCTCATGCAAAAAAGTTTTTCAAAGCATATTTTAAGTTCATTTGAGCCAACATCAAATATATCTAACCTTTACTGTTGGTAATCCTCTCACAATAAACAACAACAAAAAAATCTTCCCTTGGCACGGGAAAATTTGGAACCCAGTCTGCCACAAGATGGCAATATAACAGAGAGGCTTTAATTTCATCTTCCACAGAGCTTGAGTGTAATCCAAACTTTGAAGTGAAACACAGGCTGGACATTCAGTTCACTGTTTCAGGCGACCTTCAGTCTCTTCCCTATTCACCTAGTTACTAGCTAGAAAATACTTTGTACTGTATGTAAAGGTCACTTGAAACTCATTAGCTAGCGAAGGATGGGCAGGGGGTAGAGCTCAGTGGGAGAACACTTGCCTAGCATGTATGAGGCCCTGGATTCAATCCCCAGCACTCAACAACAACAACAAAATTACTAGCTAAAAATATCACTTTTATATTTTTATCACGCTCCTTTTCATGAATCTATGAGAAAATTAAAAATCTATAACCTCAGATACAATGTAGCCAGAAAGACAAGACTCATCAAAATTGTCCTAGACCAAATAAATGATCCGTTCCCGGGAAACACCAAATGAGTGGTAGAGAACAGCGACGGTAAAAAGACTCTGGTCAAGGAAGGCTGCGTGAGAAAACAGTGCACACTCTGAGTGGACCTTAAAGTTTGACGCCCAGTATGTCCCCAGTTACTACACACAGTCAATTAGTTAAAAGTAAGCTTCTCAGTCACAACAGTCACATTTTAATTGCTCAATACCCACACGCGCCCATATTTGTACAAATATAGACATTTCCATCATCACAAAAGGTGCTATTGGATGTCAGTGCCACAAAAGATTAGCCTGACGAAAATAAGCCCACAGGAAGCAGTGGCTATCTTTTTTAAATTCCCACTCCTTGTTGAACACTACAGAAATTGTTTCCTTCAAGCTTCATAACCCCATATTTACAGAGAAAACTGAGCTTCAGAGAAGCTACATCAATTTCTTCAGGTGAACTGGTGGGATTTAAATCTGATTTTGTCAAAACTCCATACTCTATTTTATCAATGCACTTCCTATGTGAAAAATAATAAACAGAGCCACAGAAGATCATTTGCTTTGGAATGTAATGAGAATGGCTCAGAGCAGAAAGCAACTGAGGTGGTTTAAGTACTGCACAGAGATATAATCAAAGTGTTTTCTTTTCTTTTCTGTTCCCTTCCCTTCCTTCCCCTTCCCTTCCCTTCCCTGCCCTCCCCTCCCCTCCCCTTGTCTTGTCTTGTCTTGTCTTAAGTTCAGCCTGGCCTCGAACTCATGGCAGTCCTTCTGCCTCAGCCTCCCAAGTGCTGAGCCACCATGCTAACTCTTCTTCCTTCTCTGTCCTATACTTAAGTCACACTTTAACTATATAAAATATTTTTAGGGCTAGAGAGGTTGCTACTGTGCACAATGCCCTAAGTTCAATCCCCAACACCACCATTAAAAAAAAAGGTTCCACTTTAGCCTTTTTAAAAATGAAGTTGCAGGCTGACATTATGTTCTATATTTAATAAGTGTTCATGACCCTTAAAGCATTAAATGTAAATGGTTTCAACTGGTCAGCTTTCTTGAAATGCAGTCAGGTTATTTTCTTCATTGTTAGTGCTTTGATGAAAAAGGCTTTATATGCAGTAGATCTACAAAAATATTGTTCATACTGATCAAAATTACATTTGTATAGAGCAGAGTTTTAAAATGAATGTAAATAACACTAAACATTTTCTTTCTGCAACCTGTACTTACAGATTCTTTCTGTAAACTAAATAAAAAGATACTGTAGTAAAAAAATAAATAAATAAATAAATAAAAATAAAAAAGTTTCCAGATCAGCAGCACATAAGATTAACCAGATGAACATACACAGGAAGCAAGACACAATGTCAAATGTTTCCACAATTTCAACAATATCTACCTTAAAACGCCATGATGCAAGTACTTCTTACAGGAGAATAATTAAAACTTAACAGAGACGACCTCTCTAGCCATCTTACCTCACAAACAGCACAGACTGCAAGGGGCCTGGTTGTTGTGCCCTTACATAGGGCACAAAGCCCAGCACATAAATCCTGAGGTTATATGTGCGCTGCCTCTCCCATCTGTGCTGCTCCCGGCAGGATTCCAGGTACATTTTAGCACGTGTCACTCTACCACCCACAGACCACTTCATATTTACCTAAGTATTCTATCAATACCCTACAATGATGGCCCATTTATTTTGTTGATTGTGGGCAGTAACTGTGCTTCAAAAATACTGCTACTCATAGCCAAAATGTACACTTCAATTGTGTGAACTGGTGCTCCATGAATGGCTAATACAAACTACAAATTTATAACCTAAATCAGCAGATCCTTCCATTTTAGGACTGTCTTACCACCCAGTTTCACTTCCATTTACTCAGTTTTACTCAGGGCTTGCTATGAGCCTGGCATTACAGAGTACAACAGTAAATCTCCAATCTTTTCTAGATAGGAAAGTCGCACATACACATATGTATGATGCAAAGGCTTTAAGAAAGCATATCTTGATCAAAATTCAAGTACTTGCCTTTATTGTCCCATCAGCCTTTAACCTTTCTTGCTGGGAGTCTCCAAAGCATGACCCTTCTGCCCTTGTGAATACAAGAAGCACGTTTTTCTGGGTCACTGCTGTTACTCCTTCCGATGTTAAACAGGTACTCAGTACAAGATAAACCATCCCCTACGCAAGCCAAAGTGGGAAAAGACATTCATATAAAGGCTATCAGCAAGGTTTTGCTTTGGGTAGAAAATCCTTTACTGCTAATCAATATACACAGTATTTATTGGCTTCTAATCATTACTATGTGCAAAAGATAAAAATAACAGGAAGCACTTTTAAAAGGGAATTAATATACCAAAACTCAACTGAAATGCCATGTGTGCCAACTTATATACAAGGTTATTTATTTTGAGGGAAATACCAAGATCATAAACTACTCAAATGTGTACTAATAAAAACTAAATAAATGGTACTATTATGCCATACTTTAAATTATAGTCACATTAGAATACTATGTGACCACTATAAAGAATGTGGATATTGTTTATTCCTGTGGAACTGCTAAGTGGGCAAGGTGAGGTATGTACAGTATAGTATGTATAGAAGGGAAGGGTGCACATATCTGCTATATGTGTGCTACATACCTTAAGAATACACAGGAAACTTTTAATGCTTATTGGGGAGGGAAATTGGGTGGCTCAGAAATAGGAATAAGAGACTTTGCACTCTGATCCTGACTGTTATTACATATTGAAAAAATAAAACCAAGAATAAAGCTTAAGAATTTTAAAGGGACCTACAATGCCTATCACTATAGTCAATTAGTGTAACTACTTTAGTATTTGTGTCACACTTTCTGCCTGTGAGGGTAACCAACATGTACATTATATTCAAATGTATATCATCAAAGGGAAAAATAGAAACCTGGTGAAATTATACTCAAGGTCACTATGCAAAACTTTTTATGGTAAAAATATATCCAAAATATTTATTATAAATAATATTGCTAGGAGTTGAAGGGAGGGGACGGGAATGGGGTAAAAAGAAGCAAGCAGACCCTGCAATGCAGAGACCCGCATGGAAACCAGGCAGGCAGCGCATTTCCCAGCCTTTCCCAAACTTCACGTAGTTCAAATGAATTGCCTTGCAACTCACCCACTCTTCAGTGCCGACCTGGAGTAAAGGCCGGTCACCTGGGTATATGGAGCAAATGAAAGAGGAATTTAGAACAAGTAGAGAGCAAAACTAAGAGCACACTCACCAGCAACCACAACAGAGGGAGAGAAGTAGAGACAGGAAGTAGCCTCCCAGCCTGATTGGCTAGTGAGTTCAAGGAGGCGCCCCTCCCCCTTCACCGTAGAAGGTGCTGCCAGGAGGCCACCTCTCCTTCCCCCACTTGTGTCTTCATATACCAGTGATTCTTCCTGCACTGTGTTTAGACTGAACTTAAACAAATGCCTGGGTTAATATATTAGAACACAGGCCGATTTAAACTACTTATACATGTTCTTGTTTAGATAGGCCTACTGTATGCTATTCCAAGCAGTTTTCACCTCTTTTAGAGTAACTTCCTTTCATTGGGAACCTCAGCATGGCTAACTTACACACTACAGGTCCCACAGTAAACAGTCTAGATCATCAGTTAGAACTTATTTGCAAGATAATCTTCCTGCTAAAGGGCTTAATGAATAAAAGATGATGATTCACCATTTAGCCTTTAAAGTAAAATTTAGCTGGTTTTGAATCTGAGCCTTGCCACTTTTTTTTTTTTTTTTTTTTTTTTTTTTTGAGACAGGGTTTCATTATGCAGTCCAGGCTGGCCTTGAGCTCACTTTGTAGCCCAGGCTGGCTTCCAACTTGCAGTGATCCTCCTGCCTCAGCCTCCCAAGTGTTGGGATAATAGGCAGTGCACCCTAAGCCCTGCCCTGCCATTTACTCGTTTACATGTAAATTTCAGTTTCCTCAACTATAAAAAGGAAAAACACCATGAGAACTTCCTCCTATGAGGATTAAGGAAGCATCCTTCCTTGCTCTGAAGATTAACTAAAATAATTAGAATGATATACCCAGTACAATATTCAAAAATGTGTTGTTGTTGTTGTTGTTGTTGTTATATAATTTCTTGTTAGATTTAACTCCCCAAGTGGATATAAACAATTACAGCACAAAGTGTGCATTTTATACCTCTTTGAGGACATTATTCATTAGCATTTTGACCGTATGGTATTACTCTGCTAAGATCGTATCTTAAGCCGTAAGTAGAGGGTTCACTGGTACAATATTCATCAAGATTCTCAACAAATGCTGTTAAAATACAACATACTGAATATGTAAACAAATATATATTTAATGCACATATATTAAAATATGAAAATATAAGGTAGTGAAATATAAAAAGAAAAGACACAGAGGTGTTGGATCTCCAGCACCATGGAGAGGAGAGAGAGGAAAAAGAAGAAGGGAAAAGGAAAGAAAAAGTCTAACAGTAATTCTCACTTTTTCACAGTTTAATCCTTTTTTTTTTTTTTTGGTACCAGGAATCACACTCAGGGCTTTGCACTTGCCAGGCAGGCGCTGTGCTGCTGATCTACACCGCTGAGCCCCAACAATTTAACCCTATCCACTCTGCTTCCGCCTTAGCAGAAATTCTTATCTATTCCAACCTACTTCAGAAGTTGAATGTCCTCAAATTTTCCAGTATTCAGTATCAAATGCTAGTTTGTTGTTTCATAATTGATTCATTTAATTGTAACTTCTAGAATCAGAATTATTTCACTTACTGACTATTTGCTAAAAGCCAGGAATAATGCTAAGAGCTTCACATTTGTTACCTTATTTAATCTCCACAATAACCCAAGAATGTAGGTACTTTCATTGTAACTATTTACAGGCAAAGAAACAGTCCTGGAGATTAAGTAAATTGTCTATTTAGCAAGTGGCAAAGACAGGATTCAGATCATAGTAACCCACTAGAGAGCCCAAATTCAACCTCTACAGTGTACCTCCTATTGTATAATTTCACAAAATCCCAGAAAGCACAACTATCTTTATTTTAAATTCCATCAAATGTGTAACAATACTTATTTCTGGTATTCTACATTCCGGTTTATTTTTAAAACTCAATAGCAGGCCAAGTGTGATGGTACACGCCTATAATCCCAGCACTTGGGAAGCTGAGGCAAGAGGATTGCCACAAGTTCGAGGTCAGCCTGGGCTACATAGTGAGTATGAGGCCAGTCTAGACTACATGGCAAGACCCTGTCTCAACAAAACAAAACAAAACAACTCACTAACATACCACTATGAGGTTCTCCCCAGCTGGTAACATCAAAAGTTCATGTTGAGTAAAGTAATATTGAAATTGTTTAAAGGTAGATTCCTGGGACCTGCCTTCAGAGATTCTCATTTCATGAGTGGGACCCAGCAATCTGCAATTTCCTACACACACTCTAGTGCCTCTGAGGGATTTAAATGAGACTTGAAGAACTCCAAGGGAAGAACACTGATCTAATTACTATTATTTAAGAATGTTATTACTGCTAAAATGAGTAAACTCCTGGAAAAGGTGGCACTCTTAAATTTTCTGTATAGTTTATTTAGAATGAAGTGTCTGAGAATAGTCATGTATAGGTAATTAAAAAGTAAGTATACCTTTTGCAAGTCCATATCTGGCTATTGAACATAAAAAAAAATTGTACTCAAAGAACCATGTACAAGAAAGGATAGTCAAGCCAGGTGGCACATGCCTGTAATCTTAGCATTCAGGGGACTAAGGCAGGAGAATCATCACCCACCAGGCCTAATAGTGACACCCTGTCTCAAAAAAAAAAAAAAAAAAGAAAAAGGGATGTTCATTTTAGTACTGATTGTAAAAACAAAACAATTAAAAACACTCATGTCTATCAAAAAGGGAAGAATCGAATCTTGGTAGAACTATTTTATGAGATACTACCCACTACTTTATGAGAACAAAAGTAAGTGTGTATGCCTTCACAGGGAGAGATCTCTAGTACACATTGGGTGAAAAAAAGCCGCGCTGCAGAATAACACGTGATGTGCTCACATTTATGTATTATCTAATACACACTAAAAAGTGCTAAAGTGAAATATTTCCAAACATGAACATCTTTGTGTGTGAGTGAAGAAAATGTTCTGGAAGGAAACATCTCTCTAATCATGGTTATTCTGCATGTCCTGCATGTTCACCATATCCTCCTCCAACTCTGAGCTATGACCTTTCTTCTTTCTACAAGTTTCCGATGCTCCACTTTAAAGCACCTCTTGAGAATTCTCTCCTTCCAGAGTTGTAGCCAAGTAGAAGACTCAACATCCCAGTTCCTAGCTATCCCTAAAGGCATGCACACAAATGCTGTTAAATGGTGTTCCTAGTCCATGACTTTGCTAATCACTTGGAGGAAAAGTCAGTTTTACTGATAATATAAAACAACACACAAACTGGGTGTGGTATGTGTGATCCTAGCACTCAGGAGGCTGAGGCAGGAGGAGTGCCACAAGTTAGAGCCAGCCTGGGCTACACAATGAGTTCAAGACCAGCCTGAACCTCATAGGGAGAACTTACCTCAAAACAAAACAAAAAAACTACAACAAAAAACAATATACAGTACAGGCTAGGGGTGGAACATTTGCCTAGCCCTTGTGAGGCTCTAGGTTTAATCCCCAGAACTAAATAAATAACCATACACATGGAATTTTAAAGCTTTTAAAATCTTACTGGTTTTCTTTAACCATTGATCTTTGAGATTCTGAGTTTCTCTTTCCAGTACTTCACAAGAGAGTGAGGTTCAATAAAATCTCTCCCTTCCTTCTCAAATTCACTCTTCACACACACTCACCTTTTGCTGGACTGTCTTACGTGCTACTGCATAACCAACATCACTAAAAGCGAGGTAAGTTTTCACCCACTGGTTACACAGTAGTGAACAAAATACACAGAGCCCTTTTTCACTTGGCACTTACAATCTAGAGGAAGGAGGGAGTCACTCCAAAAATTAAACTAATATTGGTCATGTTGTAATTTGTACCATGGAAAAAATTAAGCAAGGTAAGTTAGAGTGGTGGTAAGTGCTGCTATTTATACACAGCGTAAGGGAAGGCAGCACTGCTATTAAGTAAGTGATGTGTAAACAGATCTGAAGGACTGAAGGATGTGACCTGGCTAGCTGCCAAGTGCAGGCCTAGTAGACAGAGGAAGAAACACCAGGGGGCAGCAGTGTGGCCCCCGGCATTGGTGTCAATAGGTGTGGAGGACATTCTTTGATTAGAAAGCACTGAGGACACATAATTATTTGTTTATTAAAATGAACTGAAACCTTTCACCTGAAGATAAGACTCCATGGATTAAGGAAGTGTGTATGATTATCAAGTTGACCAGGGTTGGATCGACAACTGGTGGTCAACTTATGATCCCCAGCTGAACTAAATGAGTGTGGTGCTAGGTGTGGGAGGCTCACCTGGGGACTGTTGACAGCAGGGTAGGAAGCAGAACTGGAGAAGGATAAACTTTAATTACTAAAACGTTTGGTATCTGCCCACTTACACGATCTAAGCCTTTGGTTCTGGCTCAATAAAAAGTGACTGAAATTGGTAATCGGGGCAGCAGTCTGAGAGACTGTAAGCCCCTTGATCCCAGACTTTCATCTCTCTTGTTTTTCTTGTTTCTCTTACTTTTCCTCACATCTGCAGGCACCTCCTTCTGGGGACCTGTCACTATAGATAGAACGACAAGTAGGAAGAGGCCAGAGTCGCTAACAGGAGGAGCAAAGAGGTGGAGTAATAGAAACAGAACCAAGGTCTGTGGAGCAACCTCAGCCGTGGAGCTGTGGAGCCCGGAAAGAGAAGCGTGACACAGCCTGACTTCCACTCTGAAGGAGCACTCTGCCTGCTGTGGTAGTTTGACTACCTCCTCATTTGCCTGAAAAGTCTTCCAGTGTTAGCACTAAAAATGCCACATCCTGGGAAATTCAGGGGTGTGAACAGAACAAAGGTTGGTGACCCTGCAGGGATAAATGGAAAGAGAGATGACTAGGAGGCTGTCTCCCTCATCAAACTCAGTACTCATAATCTTACAAATATGTGTGTACCTATAAAGACAATAGGACCACAACTTTCTGTCAATCTTGGAAAAACTTCATTTTCTACAGTTACCCCAGCCAGTGCCCAATGCGGTGGTAGACACCTGTAATCCCAGCCAGCTACATAGTGAGTTCAAGA